GCATGTAAGATGAGTGCTTTGTAAGTATTTGTGAAATGAGTGAACTAAGTGAACTGACATCCTATTTCCATTAAATTGGTAAGCAAATAGAAACATAGATGCTAAGCTCTGTAGTTGGTGATGACAATTGAACAGCGCCTCTAGATACCTGGCTTACCGGCGATTGTGACACAGTACGACAAGGACACAACCATAGGGTATGTGGTGTGGCAAAAGTGGGGAGCCTGATCCCTTAAAAGGTCACTAAATTTGAAGGATGATTGAAGGAAAAATGAGTGCAGGAGGGGTGGAAGGGATGTGGCAAATGCCCAGATAAAAGTAACACGACGTGCAGAAACTGCAGAAAGAGATGGAATCTGAGAAACTTTGAGAAGTTCCATTTACTGAAGCACTATCCCAGGATAACTACAGGATTCTATGAAGTAACAGGAATCTATGCACACGTACTGTGAATGGCAACTAGCCATATAATTTGTAATGAGTAAGTATAGACCTGTACCTTCTGGTCACTTATCCATAGAAACAGGAAGGGTTGTTTCAAAGAGGGACTTTGTGTGAAGCCTTCTGTGACTTACACACAGGGTCCTGGGACCTCGCTCCACATCCCCTACTCTAGTTGTGCAGAGTCCACGTGGGTGGACTGAGAGATGTGATGTCACCTTGACCATGGATCTCATTGGCTTTTCAAAGTGACTGTTGGCAGATTGGCTGCTGCGAGACCTGCTCCAGTCTCTGATTGGATGACAGGTTCAGGCACCCCTCCCCCTTCTTGCTACTTTCCTACAGGGGACCCGTTGCTTGGCAAGAGATTGCTTGGCTTCGTCCAGCTGAGTGGATGGCCTTACCTCTGTGAAGTGGAAACACCGTGCTAAGACAGCCTTGTGCTTTCACCTGTCACTCCCATTTCACGACCGACCACTCGGAGTTGTTCCAGTTGCTCATCCAAGTGTGTCTTGAGACTAGGCTATAGGCTGGCACTGCAGCCACACACCGCAGACAAGAAGGTGCACAAGTTTTCCATCTGGAAGCTCCCTTTAGAGGGGTCAGGAAAGAAAAGTCACTGTTAATATTCCAAATTTAGAAATCACTTATCTTGGCAATGTTCTGAAGTTCTAGAAAGCAAGTAACTTATCTCAGTTTACTAAGTGGGAGAGTAACCCATAACCTCAGACACCTACCTGCTTGGAGTAACCCTCAGCAGTCTGGGGACAAGTGCCTTGACATGCACTCCAGAGCGCGCCTCTTGCTAGAAAGAGACTTCCGTGAGTTCAAGGAAAACAATTTTGAGGCAAGTACTGGGCAGTAAAGGGATGTATTTCACTGTGTAATCACTTTTAAGAAGCAATTTGTGTTTGTTATACAAGTCACACTTTAGTTAAACCTAATTTGCCACTACAGTATTGTTATTTAATGAACCTATTTCACTGTACTAATATATTTCATAATAAAATTATTATTACGTACAAGTAATGATGGTTGACACTATTGAACACATTGTACTGAGTATGTCTGTGAATTTAAGCTCCAAACACCAGTGTCTCTCAAGTAATGCCCATTAATTATAATACTATGACATGAGTAATAATTAATTTTAACCACTAGAAACCTAAGCCTCCAGAAATATTCAATGAAGATGTGGCCCCAGGATTCCATACCATGTTTCCTGACATCAAAATCCTTGCTCTTAATCCCTGTGTTTCATTACTCACTGTCTCATGCACATGTGGCAGCATAACACATAGAGGCCTTCCCTTTACCATTTTAACACAGAGGAAGGCAATACTCTTTGCCCCAAATGCCACCAAGGTTTTGGACTGACGTATGGAGAATGAAAATGGAAGAGGGAGAAAAGAGGGTGTGCTTAAGGGAAAGGGTGGAAAGCCATCCTTAGAAGGAGGCTATGGAGTACTACCCGCAGTTGCTTCAAGGTGTAGTTCAGTGGCATTGTTCGTTTTTTACCTGTGCTCTAAACATACTACCTTCACTGGAGATATTAGAAACATTTACTCAGTCCAACAACAAACATACCAGAGGCATTGATCCAGCATTTAATGTTTCTGCTCAGCCTAAATTTTGTAGTTCTCTAGTCAAAGAGAATCCAATAAAGGGATCTGTAAATACAGGTAATAGAGATGTACTGTTCATTTTGACAAACACCTACATACTTAATAATATGCCCATTATTAGAAACATTGATTGAGTGTATTTCATGTATTTCTCAACATAATTGGTAAGGTTTTCTATGAAATACATTCTTATCCCTCCTTTGGAACAATACCTCAAATTTTTAGGAAAAAATTATTTTTATATGGAATTGTAGTTTTGGATTTTTTCTTAATAAAAATTTCCCTATTTCTCTTCCATATAGCATTTATACAGCTTTACGATAGCTTTACTTTGAAGCACATATGCTTTCCAACTCATTTCTTCTTTTTTAAAGTGAATCTTAAATTTGCTTTGACTTACGTGGACAGTATATGAGTCACACACACCAATATCTTGGCCTTCTAGTCCTACTTATGATTTCCACACTTATGATTTATTTTTATGTACTGTTGCATATTTTTTCTGGAATCTATTTTAACTTCTTTGTAATAAGACATTTCCTCAGATCGGCAAATAAATAAACTTATCAAAAAAAGAAAGATGAGAAGTTTTGGAATTCAGTGTTACCTGGTATACCATGGTATACATACTTAAACTTATTATGTGCTTTAACTCTGTTTTTAAATTAAAGGGTATTACTGCTTTTCCTGTAAGTGAAGATATGATGAAATGGGAAGCTGAAATTGAAGGTCTACAAAATTCATTGTGGCATGGTTTGTGTTTTCAAAAACAATGTATTATTTAAAAGTCCTTATACCATTAATTGCCTATCTTCCTCATACATATAATAAGCTTGCATTATTTTCTGGAATTCTTCTTTATATGCATATAAAGTTGGCATTGTATCAATCATCTAGAATTCTAAAAGCATTCACATGTTATTATTTCGTAATATGGCTTATTTTTTGCCATTTTTCAACACAGATGGAAATTTGGGATTTGTACTTTCATTTTTGTTAAATCTTAATGTTATAAGCAGACAGCAATGAAGTATTATCAATTGAGAATATCTTCTGAATGTTTTCTGTGAGATTAGAAAATAGGTATCAAAATTACTATTGGCTTAAAAATACCACAGTTACTTCTCAATTTTTCCATTAAAATTTTCCCCCAAATTTTCATAAATCCAGTTCTCAAAAAGGCTGGGTCGCTATAAACTCTAATGACTATGTTTTCTTCCCATTATGAAAACATTCCTTGAGTGAGGTAGAGGAGACAACCCCATAAGCTGATAATTACACAAATGTAATATGTGCTTTTGGATTTTGAATAGGATGCTGAGGAGGGAGTGATTAGTTAGTTATGCCTGAGGTAATCAGGAATGTCTTCCCCAAGAGATAACATTTAAAGTGACTCCTGAAGAATGTGTAAGAATTTGCTAGGTTCAGAAGAAGAAAATTCAGGCTGTAGACAAGGAAAGGATCAGTGTGTTCTGGGAACAGTATTCAGTCAATATAAGATACACAGCTGAGAGCAGATATAGGAGGTGGAGGTGGTGGATGGAAAGACTTGTGGGACACAGGCTGAGAATGCCATGTGGTCATATTATGAAGCATGAGTTCTATGATCTGAAGAATGCTATACATTCTATGAAACAATTGACTTAAAGGTGTAACTGTGGGGAAGCTAATCAGGATAGTCAGTGTTAATCAGGTTAGTCAGTCCAACACAATACTTTACTTAAAAAGTTTATTTCTATATTACAGGATTAGTTCTCCACCTGACAATTAATTTTACATCGGAGTATAACTTCGCCCCTCCAGTTGTAAAATTTGAAACAGTTCCTTTTCATCCAAATGGTAAGGACTTAAAAGAGATTTTTATCATCATGGGCTTTGTCCCTATTGTCCTTAATCCTTATATAGGTAATAATCATGTTTTTAGAGCAACTCTGTCATGATTATAAAAGTAAGAATGTTCATTGGGTAGAATATGAAAAGGCAGACAAAAATGACAATTATCTTGAATCCTAATGCAAAGACATGCTACTCTCAAGGTTTTGTCAAATTTACTTCCTTTCTTCTATGTGTATATTTTTCTATGTAGTCGAGGTACTATGTATAAAGTTTTGCATCTAGCTTTTTTTATCTACAATTACATATTTTACCTGCATTATTAAACATTCTTAAAAATATCATTTTAAATGCATCAATAATACATGTAACCATTCCTATATTGTTCAATATTTTAGTTGGATATACTTTTTCATTATTATAAAAAAGGATACACTGGACAAATTAACATTTTAGAAAAATGTAGGTAACATTGCTACATTACACAAATTATGAACAAAGTGAATTCCTAAAGGATCAAAAATCTAAAAATTTTAAATGCTAGAAAGAAAGGAAATATGATATAATTTTCTATAGTCTTGTTTAGAAAGACTTTTCTAAGTATGATAAAACCCAGAAACTATGGGCAAATTATGACACATTAAACTACATAAACGTCAAAACTTCTCTACAGCCTGGCATGTTACAAACAGATAAGAGACATTGACTTTCACAAGTTGATGAAAAATATTCGTGATGCATATAACCCAATATGTATACCATATAAAGAACACTGTAAATCAAAAAAAGAACATAAAGCAATAAAAAAATAAACAAAGGCTATAAGCAAACAGTGGATGGAAGAAAAATAACAAAAATAAACATAAAAACATGCTTGATATCACTAGTAAGACGATAAATGCAAATTAAAGCAAAAAATATTATGATTCATCTCTTATGATTAAAAAATGTTAACAGATAATATACAATTTTAGTAGGGTTGGGTACACATCATTCTATTGTTTCTCTGACATAATGGTAACCTTTGGGGAAATCAATTTGATAGTTTCTAATCAGATATAAAACACATATAGCCCTAAATCTTTATGAAACCATGTTTATAAATTATTGTGTAGAAATAGGAACACAATTATACAAGAAGAATATGTTATGTTTAAAGATATTTATTTATTCCAATGGCAATGTTGGAAATGGGAAAAATGAAAATAGCCTCAGTATCCACTATTATAGGAACTTTTAAGTGAAATATCCTACAGTAATGTGGATTGTTTTAACATAACAAGGAAGAGCTATGGACACTAGACATTTTGGTTATTACCATATCCCTATAATCTTCACTGCCTGATACATAGCAGGTACACATAATGGGTATTCAGATTTTTTCAAATAAATATTTATGTCTGGAAATACATTGACAATTCACTGTTAAATGAAAAAACACATAAAGAAATAAAATGTAAAGTGTGATTTCATTTAATAAACACACGTGTGTACATATGTATATTTGTGTGTATGTGTTTTTGTATACACCAACTGGCAAAAATTTGGAAAATGGAATTAATAGGTAGGGAAACACTTGTATTTTACTTTATATTCTTGTATGTAATTTTATTTTTCCCCATTGCATCATAAATTTTGTAATAATAACTTATTTTTGAAATTCATAACACATAATGAATTACAACTAAGTGCCTTTATTTGTTTCAAATACTTAGGAGTAGAATTACTGCATTAAATGTAATAAGAGGATATTTTTATCCCCCAGCCCTCACTCCTCCCACTTTCATAAAGGAGAAGGAACTTCCTTCTCTAGGAGGGAAAACTATGAAGACTCATGATGGCTCTTGTATTCATCTTTCACACCTCCCAGGAGAAGTCACTTATCTGATTAGGAAAATGGGAGAAGAATTGAGCTGGTGTGGTCCAACACTTTCTCAGCACTTTCTTTCTGACCATCCTGACCTTAGAAAGGGTGCAGTCTCTCTTTCTCCAGGCAGGAACCTTAAGCAGGCCTCTAGTTTGGTTAACTTAAAACCAGGGGTACAATAGTGCAGCAGCACAATTAAAGCTGTAGATCAAGTGCATGCTTATGTACAGAAGAGCTGATGTTTTCTACTTCCATCTTTTAACACTGTGCTCTATTTCATAACTTAATATATATAAATTTAAAAAGAGAGGAACATTACCTGTTAGCTACCAAACATCAAAAGATTACTATGTGCAGATTTAAGTCTTTAGATATATGTGTATAAAGTCAAATTGCCTTTTCATATTATTTGCATTCTCACCAGAAAGTGTACATAAATTTCTCATTTTAACACATTCCAATTCTGGGCATTGAAACTTTAGAGAAATTTTTTGCCAATTTGATAAGAATCTTGCCATTATTTTAATGAGCACTTCTTTCAATACTTGTAAAGTTAACATTTTTTATGTTTATTGATTATCTTCTCTATTTTGTGACTTGTCTGATATAATTGAAATGTTATCACATTGATCTAGATATTGTCAATAGGACTGTCCATATTGACAGTGCATTAGGTCTCTCCTTACTCACGGACCTTGCCTTCCGCAGAGAGTGAACTAAGTGACTACAACTGAAAATGTTCAGCTTTGTCCTTTGTTTCTGATAGTGCTAGCTACTCTCTCTTTTTTAATATTTCTCCTAATTTATCATTAATTCTAAATTTTGTTTATGCATTTTTAATGTCTGGGATTCTAAAATTTTTATGTAGTAACATCTATTATTGAGGTTTTTGCAATTGTATTGAAGTTTACATGACCCTCCCCCTAAACAAAACAAAATTGTCTTTTTATTTTTCTTCTAGTCATTTTACAGTTTTATTTTTCATATTTAACTCCACTCTTTTTTTTAAACACTAAACAAGTCAATTAACTGTGCTAGGGCATGGGCCAAGCTTCTGTATATCTTTCCAACCTAATATAACAGACCATAGCTAGAGGGAAGTTTTGTCTAATCCTCAATGTGAGGACTCCATGTCTGAGTCTAAGGCATTTATTTACTCTGTTTGTCATCATCTCCAGCCAGTGGGAAGGGGAAAGAGAAAAAGAAGAGGGAAAAACAGCTTCCTTAGAAAAAATCCAGAAATGTCACACTTACGTTTATAGCTCATGATAAAAACCAAATAACAGGCTACCTCTTGCTACAGCAGAAGCTATGAAAACAGCACAGGCATCCATGCACTCAGCCAAAACAATGTGGGGGACAGAGGGAACCAGGAGCGGGCATAGTGTTTCTTATTACAGAGAGAAGGAATAGAAGAAAGGAAGAGTAGCTGCAAATAATTTTCCTGGCTTATTATTTTGATGTTCATAAGTTTTAAATATTAATTTTATTACTCATACATCACTATTAATGTATTATTTTAATACAGTAAACCCACATACTGGTCAGCCCTGTATAGATTTTTTGGACAACCCTCGTAAATGGAACACAAGCTATACCCTGAGCAGCATCTTGCTTGCCTTACAGGTAAGAACAGCTTTAATATGATGCTCTCTTTAATACTTGTAATTACCCCAGTAATTCAAAATATAAGGATTAAAATGTGCAATGCATATTTATATATTTAAAGGATATTAGAAGACTTACTTAAGTCAACGTTTCTATATCAAGACTACGAAGTAGAACAAGTTATAAAAACTATTAATTTAAGGTAAAATTGATAGCAAAGCCCTTTACAACGCAAGAGTACATATTTTATAAAAGAAGAACTAAATTATTTGGCTATTTTCAGTTCTAAAAATGCAGTTTTAGATTTTCTGTTGGCTCCTAACTTTGTTTTCTGTTCATACTGACAGTCCTTCAGGTCTCTCTTTAGTCATGGACCTTGCCTTCCGCAGAGAGTGAACCAAGTGGCTACAACTTAAAATGTTCAGCTTTGTCCTTTGTTTCTGATAGTGCTAGCTACTCACTCTTTTTACATGCTCACATCAAACCCAGTGAACAATTAAGCCAGAGATTTTCTCCTCTCCTCAGATGGATGCCTATTTCGCAAATGCCACCTTAACCCCTTGGACCCACAGTCCTTAGAAGCATGCCTCAGTGTTGGGTTATTCATAACCCTTGAAAACCCTGCTTTCTCATCCCAAGGTAAAATAAATTATTTCAGTGGCATTTGCTTTGACCACTTAGATTGGCTTAGAAATATTCCATTCGTGGACCTAATTATCATTCATGTATCTGAAGATAAACTATTAGATATTGATTATCTGAATGCTTAGAGGATAAAGTATTCTGGCTTAATTGAGTTTTCTCAACATAGAATTTATTTCTCCCATTTCTTTTGAAAATCAAGCAATAGTTTATTTGCTAGGTAGTCATCTTAATATATTGAGGAAAATGTATAATTTTTTAAAGATTCAACATTCACTTTATTCATTCATTCTACCCATACGTATTGAGCATCCACCTATGCAAGAAACATCCACCTGTTTGGGGAAATAAGTATTTGAGCAAAAACTTTGAGGAAGTGAGTGAGTGTGATATGCAGATATCTGAGGTTGATCTTTTTTTTTTTTGCAGTTTTGGGCCGGGACTGGGTTTGAACCTGCCATGCCACCTCCAGCACGAGGGGCTGGTGCCCTACTCCTTTAAGCCACAGGCACCATCCAAGGTTGATCTTTTGGTTTCTTTCAAATTGAGACACATTACTATCTCTTATACCTAAACTACAATCTGCACTAGAATAGTAAAACTGGATGATTCCAAAGTATAATGAATAAGGGCAAACCAGAATGAACTGGTTAAAATTTTAAATTGCAGAAAATTTTTAAAAGTAATTGGAGCTATGAAATTAGAATTCTTTCCTTCATGTCCTGATGCTTCCATATGATACCTTTGTACCACTAGAGAAGATTATTCAATTCTCAATTTCTTTTTAAGGAAAACGTGATTGCTATTAATTGCATCCTCATGTGACTGGTGAGAATGAAGTTAATGCATGTAAAGTACTTAGAACTAGGCAAGGTCCAAGAAAAAAAAAATCACTAGTTGATACAGATTGTGTATCCCTTACCCTAAATGCTTGGGACCAGAAGACTTTCAGATTTCAGACTTTTTCAAATTTTAGAATATGTGCATTATACCTACCTACCAGTTGAGCCTCTCAAATCCAAGAATCTGAAATCTAAAATCCTCCAATGAGCATTTACTCTGAGCTTCATTTTGGACTCAAAAAGTTTCAGAGTTTGCAGCATTTCAGATCCCTGATTTTCAGATTTGGGATGCTCAACCTGTGCTTAGTTCTTATTATGATTGTTCTTACTATTAAACAGAAAGTGACAGCAGCATGTTGCCAAATATGTTATGGAAAGCCAGTCATTTGACTTTTTATTTCTTAAATACATTAATAAAATAAATATGCCTAAATTACACAAGTTTTTAAGTCAATAGAAAGGAAAAGAAAATCACCGATGATTGTAAATAAAACCCCTAACTCTGCTGTTGTTACCATTTCCTTCTGATCTTTGCTCCTGTATTCCCATTTAAAATCTTCCAGTGGTTAGTCCCACATTTTTTTGCCTGGTAAACAATCTACTCCTCACACCTGGACTTCTGGCTCTTCCTAAATTGCACCATGCAATCTCACTCCCATATACATCTTCATCCTCTTCTGCACTCACATTGCTTGGTCCAAATGAGGTCCAAAAGCATTTATAGAATTCTAAAGTCTAAAGTTACAAACCCAAGCAAGTCTTAGATCTCAAAAAAATGCTCGGTCCAGTTTCCCATATGACATATGCCATTTTCTCCTCTTTTTCAGTCTGTCCAGCAAGCCACTGTTCACATTGTAAGAGCCAGATCAAACAAGCCTTCCTCTGGGATACATTTTCTGATTTCTTTTCCAAAGTAGAATTGATGGTTTTGGCTTTGGGAGAGCATGCTTTGTGACACACCCAATGAGATCCTACGCCAGTTTCTGTCAGAGTACTGTAGCACTGTGATGCACACACTGTTTCCTTATCTGTCTCTCCTATTGGACTACAAACTCCCCAAATCAAGAAACAGATCTAGTTCATCTCTGATTCCCCAGTACCTACCTAGGACAATGCTGACATTTGGTAGGCACTAAATAAAAGAAATGAATGGGTAAACCTGAATGTTTACATTATGGCACAGATACAGCCATGTATAATTTAACAATGGGGATATGTTCTGGAAAATGTATCATTAGGCATTCTTGTCATGGTATGAAGATCACAGCAATGTACTTACACAAAGCTACAGGGTGTAGCCTGTTACTCCTGTAGCAATGTACTTACACAAAGTAAGTACAAACCTATACAGCACATTACTATATTTAATACTGTAGACCACTGTAACACATGGTATTTGTGTATCTAAACATATCTAAATATAGGAAAGGTACAGAATATAGAATATATAAATTCTAATTTTACATTATAATATACAGTATTATAATCTTATGGGACCACTATCATATATGTGGTCTCTCACTGACTGAAACATTAAATGGTGCATGACCATACATAAGTTGTGTGGCCTGTTTTTCTTCACTTGTTTTTTGTTTTGTTTTGTTTTGTTTGAGACAGAGTGTCACTGTGTCACCCTTGGTAGAGTGCTGTGGCGTCACAGCTCACAGCAACCTCAAACTCTTGGGCTTAAGTGACACTCTTGCCTCAGCCTCCCAAGTAACTGGGACTACAGGTGCTGCCACTATGCCCAGCTGTATTTTGGTTGCAGTTGTCATAGTTGTTTAGCAGGCCCAGGCTGGGCTCGAACCCACCAGCCTCAGTGTAAGTGGCCAGTGCCCTAGTCACTGAGCTATGGGCGCTGAGCCTTTTTCACTTGTTTTATAGAAGGTAATTTCCATATGATTAAAATCGCTATTTTAATGGCTATTCAATTGTCCTTTGAAACTCAGTGTGCTGCCCTACTAAACCTTCTACACTGATGGAAATGTCCAGTATCTTCACTGTCACAGACAATAGCCACTAATCACAGGTGGCTACTGAGCACTTGAAATGTGGCCAGTGTGACTGAGGGACTGAGATTTTATTTAATGTTAATTATTTTAAATATAAATTTAATGGCTACTTGTGACTAGTGTCTACTAGTCACAATTCGAGTTTAAAGCACAATTACTGAGTACTTCCTTTTCAACAACACATGAAGTACATTTCCAAGGGGATGGTACCTGAAATACTTAAAATATTTTGAAGTCTAAATAAACCTACTATCAATCATCACCTAAAATTTTAATAATCTTAATTTCTTTGCAAACTTGTATTTCCATATATAATGCAAAGGTAAATATCAACAGCCATCCATAGAATAAATTCCAAATTCATGGGCATTGATTAATTGGATATTATAAAATATATCTACAGATAGTTTTTATTGGTTTCACATTTTTGAATCTATCCCCTAGAGCGCTTTCATGCTGCCACATGACTAATTTAAACATTAGACATTTATTTTTTACTATTTTGGCAGGATGTCTGATTTTGACTTTTTAACGCATACCTTATATTCCAGTTCTTTAAAATCATTAAATATCCTTAACAGCTTATGTACACATTATGTAAATAGGTCTTAGGCATTATTGTTAATGAGAAGAATCTTGAATAAACTTTACCAGATGTTCCTCCTTAAATAATATGATCTCTCCAGACAAAGACCAAAAACTTGCTCTTAAAGATAAGTTTCATCTGCTTTCTACACACTTTGAAAGCTACAGTGCAACCCATAGTAAATCCTTATTTAAGTGGTTGTAATATTCTTGGAAATATAGCCCAATGTGTTTTTCAAACAGGAAAATTCAAGTAACAGCAGAAAATTCTTCTTATTTTTGAAATATCAGATTTCAGATGATTTCTTTCATTAGTGAAATATTCCATTATTTCCATGACTCTAAAGTCATAATTAATCACTGTGACCTGCTTCTACAGTGATCAGGTATTTTGGTATCTTATACCATATTTTATTATATAGTTTATACATTACAACATATAATATTCAAAATACTAAATTACTGAATAAGTATTTACAGTTTGGACTAATATTAACTTTGAGGTGCCATATTAAAAAGCTCATAGTCTAGGAGAACTATTAAGTTTGAGTTGCTACTTATCACTTGTTTTGCCCAGATGGAGAGATACTCCCATAGGCATAATCTTAAAGATGCCCCCCTTAAGACTCCCATCCTCCAGCAATTCAAGGCACTACTGTTAAAGGACCTGCATATGGAATTGTGGTTACTCATCAGCTGTCCTTAAAATAAGAAAATTACCCTGGGCTGTGCAGGTGGGCCCAAGTCATCACATAAATCCCTAACAATACAAAAGGAGGGTGGAAGAGTTGGTTAGAGAAACAGTGGAAGGAGAAAGGACATCAGAAGGTGAAATCAGAGAAATTCCAAGCATATGGAGAATTTGTCACACCACTGCTGGCTCTGATATTCAGGGGTCCAAATGCAAGGACTGGAGAGAGGCTTGGAACTAAGGGTGACTGCTAGCTAACATCCCCCAAGAAAAATGGGACCTCAGTCCTGCAACTGCAAGGAGCGCAATTTAGCCAACCACTTGAGTGAACTTGGAAATAGATTTTTCTCAGACTCTTGTGACAAGAGCCCAACCAGCTGACACCTTGATTTAAGTCTTTTTAAATCTGGAAGAGAAACCAGTCCATCCATACTGGACTTTCCACCTAAAGAAATCTGAGATAATAAACTTGTACTTTTTAAAGCTCCTAATTAGTTACAGCATCAATAGAAAAGTTTTCAGATACCAAATTAATCACTCAGTGATCTACAGAGATATTGAACTGTGTGCAAACAATAGTACATGTATGTGTTTATCTGTAATCTACTGTAAAGTTTTATTTCTTACAATTATAAAATGGAAATTTTTTAATGTACAATTCTTTTTACATATAAATTCAATTTAAATGTATATAATAGGAAAGGATAATCTACAGGAAGGAACTTGGAACTTGCTTTGATCCTATTATTTGGCTCGTAATACAGCCAGGTGTGTTGACTCATACCTGTAATCCTAGCACTTTGGGAGGCTCAGTTAGGAGGATAACTTGAGGTGAGAGGTTTGAGGCAAGTTTGAGCAAGTTTGAGTAGGACAAAAAATAGAAAATACAAAAAATAAAAAATGCTGCCAGGTGTGGTTATGCACGCCTGTAGTCCCAGCTACTCAAGTGGCTGAGACAGGAGGATCACTTGAGTCCAGGAGTTTGTAGTTGCTGTGAGCTATGATGAAGCCACTGTACTCTAGCCGAAGTAACACAGTGAGTCCCCATCTCAAAAAAGAAGGAAAAAACATGATAGATCAATATTTTCTTGAGACTAGAAACTGTGTCTCATGTTATCTTTGTATCTATCTCCAGTAAGCATTCCATAAATATGTGTTGGAAGTTGTACATACTGGTTTATCTTTTTGCTCTAAGAAAAAAGTTTACTTTAAAAATTATATGTTGTGTTTGTTTTCCTGCAGGTTATGCTTTCTAATCCAGTGCTAGAAAATCCAGTGAATTTGAAAGCAGCCCAAATACTGATGAAAGATGAATCCATGTACAGAGCAATAATTCTAAAACTTTTCAACAAACCACTGCGATGTAAGAAGTGCCTACTTATTTTATTTGGCAATTATCAAGATACATTAAACATTTATAGTAAATGAGTGATCTAGCAAACCACTGTTACATAAGAGTGTATTTGAATATTTTCTGTAACATAGTGGTACTAGGATCTTTACTACTATAACTCTTTGTCAAATCAGTGTGATCCTTTCTTAAAATCACCAAAGATTGAACATCCTTTTGGGGAGTGAGTACTGTGACAGAGTCTCACTCTGTCATCCAGTGCTGTAGTAGTCATAGCTCAAAGCAACCTCAAACTCTTGGGCTCAAGCGATCTGCCTATCTCCCTTCCCAGGCAGCTGGAACTACAGGTGCCCACAACAACACCTAGCTAATATTGTTTTCTATTTTTAGCAGAGACATGGCCTCACTCTTGCTCAGGCTGGTCTCAAACTCCTCAGCTCAAGCAATCCACTCACCTCAGCCTCCCATGATTATAGGCATGAGCCACCTTTATATTTTTAAATGTTATGGTCATGTGGATGGATGATGCTAATTGAAACTAGTCTACTCATCATAAAGATGTGACATCTAATTTTAATTGTGCAGTCTATAATGAATATTTCCCAGACTTCACCTATGATGCCCCTGATCTTACTGATTTGTACTTCTTTTCTTCTTGAACCTCTTTTCTTCTTGATTACATAAGGTCAGAATTCTTTTTTTAGTTTCCTCCCCAGGTATCCTTCAAAAAGCCCACGTGGCAATTCTACCTGAAGTCCTTCAGTCTTTCTGCTTTGGTAACCAATGCTTCCTGATACCCTGCGTTTCTGGCCATCAGCTTCTTTCTGAGTCTTAACCCCATTGCTTCCATTGCTTCTGTGCTCTCTTCAGTAAGCACAGCAGAGTCATTGGCTCCCATGTCCAGGGCATTGCCCACAGTGGCAGTAGGGCCCTTAGTGACATAGTTCCTTCCCTTCAACCTGCCCCTCCTCCAACTAGCACACAATAGTCTTACATAGCAGCTGATAGTATTACCTCCCCAGGAAACTGGACTTGTGCTCTTAAGGTGCTTTTTCTCTCTGATTTCCATTATTTCTTTCTCCATTCCCTCTGTAGGATGCCCCCCCAAGTCCTTTAGTGTACACATGTGACCAATTTCAATTGCTCCTCCCATGGGGCTTTTGGCCCCAACACAAGTCAAGCATTGTTGATCAGGCACCTTTCTTGTATGTCCCAACATGCTGTGATTGTTTCAGAGCTCCTCAAACATCCTCTAACAGTTTTGAGGCTGGTTTGTACACAGAGGAATGGTACTGCTTTAATATCACCCCATTTCTGACCTCCAGAGTATTGCAGCATTTGCTGCTATATCCTCTGCACTTGGACTTGTACTGGTACTCAGTAAACACTAATGGAATGAATGAATGATACATGTTGCCTAACCTTTCACTGAGCTCAACAAGTACTATCATTACAAAGAAATAAACTATATAATACAGTTACAGCATATTCTGGTGAATGGCAATTTTAAAAACTGGTTCTAAAGAATATTCTGCACTAAATGATTCTGCAGATACTGGCAGATGTAGGTTTCTCCCAGCACAGAGAAAAGGTTAAGAAGAAACACAAAGAGGAGTCAGCTCTTTCTTTTGTCCTCCACAGGCAGACAGCACCTCTCACCCCTCTCTGTTCTCCAACTTTGCCATCACACCTGACAGAAAAGCTACTCAAATTGCCAAACCATCCAGAAAATAAGAAACAAAGCAAACAGTACTTTGTCAAGTTCTCATTATGTGATTTGATGTGTGTTGCTAAAATATATGGAAATCCAAGACAGTAAATATGTATCAGCTCAATGGGACTGACAGTGCAGCCTAGGGTACCATGCCGAGAATGGTTTTCAGAAGCTTCTCAGGGAGAAAATGCTGTGATACTGCAGAAGCAGCTATGGTTTGGAAATGAGCAAGTGGCAAACTCATTCACTCTATATTAGATGGAAGTTAAGTACTTCAGTGTGGATTTGTGTGGAAAAACCCCATCCATTGAGAATTAATGACTTGTGACCACTTGAAGAAAGGTCTCTACTGGAATACCATGAGAATCCTGTCTCATATCATACTTTAAAATATTAACAAAGACATCCAGAAAAACCATAGAAAGAATTATTATCACATTTTTATTTATTTTTTTTATTTCTGGTTATTGTGAGGGTACAAACAACCAGGTCACAATTTTTGAATTTGTTAGGTAGAATCCCTCTTGTAGTTGTGTCCCATAATCAAAAGGTGTGCCATAGACCCTTACATTGTGCCCTTTAAATGGAAGCATGCCCCCTTCCTCTCCCCTTTCCCTTATTCCTCCTTCCCCCAACTTGAATAGAATTAAGTTTTTCTCCTACGTGGGTATTGTTAGATTGCCTACTGCCTTCATAATAAAATTGAACACATTGGATACTTGCTTTTCCATTCTTGTGATATTTTCCAAGAACAATGTGTTTCAACTCTATGCAGGTTAATACAAAAGATGTAAAGTCACCATCTTCTCTTATAGATGAATAGTATTCCATGGTATACATACACCACAGCTTGTTAATACATTCCTGAGTTGATGGGCATTTAGGTGGTTTCCTCATCTTGGTGATGGTAAATTGAGCTCCAGCAAATGTCTTTATGATAAAATGATTTTTTTTTCTTCTGGGTAGATGCCTAATAATGGAACTGTGGTGATCCTCTAATTTCTAAAATAAAATATTTCCTATTATCCATGTCTTTGTTTTGTTTTATATTTTAGAAGATTTTCAGAAAATATGCTTCTTTTTCCTATTTTTCTACTTATTTTTTATTCTGATTGTTGTCATTTATAATATTGACCTTGCTCAAATACCTAGTGATCTTTCCATTTAGATGATGAGCATATCATGAATAGTTTATTACGAAGATTGGAAGTTCTTGGAAAAGGAAGAGCAATCCACTCCCAAACCTAGAAAAGAAAAGAAATAACAAAAAGTAGATCAGAAATAAGTGAAATTGGGTGGCGCCTGTGGCTCAAAGGAGTAGGGGGCTGGCCCCATATGCCAGAGGTAGCAGGTTCAAACCCAGCCCCAGCCAAAAAAAAAAAAAGAAGAAGAAGAAAGAAAGAAGTGAAATTTAAAACAAAAGAATCATTTGGAAAAATAAGGGGAAAAAAAGCTTATTCTTGGATAAGATAAAATTGATAAATTTTTGACCAGATTAACTAGAAACGGAAAGATAAAATCTCTAATAACCTAAATAAGAAACAAAAAAAGAGGAAATAACAACAGATACCACAGAGGTACAAAAGATGATTTCTGATTATTAAAGAAAACTCTATGCCCAGGAATCTGAAAATGTGAATGAAATGGGCCAGTACCTGGAATCACACCACCTCCCTACAGTTGACCAGGAAGAAACATATCTGTATCAAGCACTAAAATTTCAACAATAAAAAAAAAGTCCCAATGAAAAAAGTCCTGGGCCGATGACTTTATACCACACCTTTACCAAACCTTCACAGAGGCTAAGGCAAGAGAGTCTCTTAAGCCAAACAGTTTGAGGTTGCTGTGAGCTGTGACATCATGGTCCACTATAGAGAGTGACATAGTGAGACTCTGTCTCAAAAAAAAAAAAATTGGAATGTCTGAATATAGGCAAGGCTTGTTAACAGTTTCCTTTCTCTGTAGGGTTATTCAGTAAGAACCTGGCCATTTCTATAGGCTTAACTTTTTCTCCTCAGAGGACCCTTTTAACCTTGTGCTGGTTTGGGGGGGGTAGCTTACACTCTAAGAGCTGGCCAGGGGAGAGAGTCAGAAATCTTGTCTGTTTATTATGATTTATTCCTTTTTCAGTCCCTTACTTACTCCTGTTCTGCTTTGTTTCTAATATTCTCTGGTTCTGAGTCTCTCTGACTCCATTTCTCTGGAGATTAAACATCCTTCCTCCTGCCTGGGCAATAGTGATCTTCTGTCACACAGGATGAGGCTTTGGTGTTGGGACTCTACCGCTCACCCTAGCGCTTTCAGAGTTATCAGCTGCCTTCAATTCCTGCATTGTTTCTCAGGCTCTGAAGTACAAATCCCTGTGCTTTTTTATTGGCATTTTCTCATCATGCTAAATTGAAACTCGTAGGTTTCAAATTTCCATGGCCTGATAAGACAGTTCCCACTTCACATCTGCTTTCCATCTTAAAACATTTTCTTGTCATTTTTCTTTTGCTCTCCTTGAGGTTTTGTACCTAATTTTTATTCCAATATCACCACTTCACTGAGGCTTTGTAAAGAGTGCACAAAAAGCCAAATACTCAATCTCCAAGTAAACCAGAATTCTTTCATATGTTTTCTTTGCAGTGAAAGGTGACGGCCTAAAGTTACCTGAAGATTCACATAAGTGTATTGGGTAAGTCTTTCTTTATAAAGTTTATGTCAATTTATTTACCAAAAGGACTATTGATTTAAACTGTTTATCTTTTTCATCATGAAGATAGTAGAAAAGAAAAGAAAGTACATCTCTTTACCTCTTATAATACCTTTTAGAAAAGAAAGTAGATCTCTTTTCCTCTTAAAATACCTTTTAAAATAATCTTTTCTAGAGGAATGTGGGAAATTATTGAATTCTTTCTAGACTATTGCATTAAAATTAAAAGTAATTTCTTGAACTTGTCTACCTTTTACTTTTATTTTTAAAGAAGAAAAAACATATTGTCAACAAAATGAGCAAAACCTATTAAAGTTCACAAAATTTCAAGCAATTTAGGAGAACATAAGATTCTACAGAAAAATGGGAAGAGTTAGGACTGAAGGCATTGTGCCTCTGGGGAGACACCCTGAGAACATGGCATCAATTCAGCCTTGAACTCCTAAACAAGGTGTAAGTCTAGAACCTCAGATGTGGTTCTGTAGCTTCATAAGCATTCCCATTAGTTTTATTTCGACAGTCAAACAGATGTAGAAAATAGCCAATGAACCAGTATGGAAATAGTGAGCACTTTAGATTATGTTTACTTGACTGGCCCTACATAAAATATAAGTAAAATTAACTTAAGTGGCTTCTGTTTGTGAAATGATATTGAAAAATATCAGGAAGACAAGCATAATCTAGTTATTAGTACACTAGGGTGCAATTCTGTAAAGCAGCAGTCCCCAGCCCCCAGTGTGCAGCCTGCTAGGAATCAGTCTCCACCACCTCCCCTTCTACTCCCCTCATCCTCTGTTCATGGAAACACTGTCTTCAATAAGACTCCGGAACCAGCACACAGGGCAGGAGGTGTGCAGTGGGCAGGCAATAGAGTAAAACTTCATCTGCATGTGCCAGCAGTTCCCCATTGCATCACCACCTGAGATCTGTGCCAGCCACCTCCTCCATCTGTGGAGAAATTATCTATCATGACACCAGTTCCTGGTGCCAAAAGAGTTGAGAATTGCTGCTATAAAGGACATTGCTACTGTAGTCCCAGCTACTTGGGAGGCTGAGGCAAAAGAATTGCTGAAGCCCAAGAGTTTGAGGTTGCTGTGAGCTGTGATGTCATTGCACTCCACTGAGGGTGACAAAGTGAAACTCTTTCTCAAAAAAGAAATTATACCACAATAGGACATTTTCATATTCAAGGGACAGTTATGTTTTACAGGTGCTGAACTAGTACCAGGATGGCCAACAGCTTTGTATCATATTGACACATTTTGTGGGCAGCAATGTCCTTTCCAAAAGACATGACAAAACTCAGGTAGAGTCTGGCCAACTAGGTAGAATATAGTCAGGGGAATCCAGCTGATATTCAGTAATTGAAGGTAATAAACTTGCGCTAATAACTTGGGATATTTGTACATGGTCTTTTGGATACTACTTTCAGGTTATGGGATGAGATTTCAGCTCCTCAGAGAACAACTGCTTGTTCATGTATTTAAAATGCATTCACTGAGCATATGCTCTATGTCAAACATTGTGCCTCAGTGCTGGGGATATGACCCTGAGTAACACATGGTCCCTAACCTCTCAAGATTGAAGCTCTGCTCTAAAGAGCAGACAGTATAAAGAGTAAGCCTGACTGCAGTCTAAAGACCAATGTAGGGAGCATCTTACACCACAGAATGTTGCTGGAAGGCCACAGGGCAAACATCAGGATCATAGCTAAGGGAGGAATGCTGAGGTCAGACTGAACCATATTTAAAATGAATCATATTGAACAAAAACTTCTTCCTCTGTGGCTTTTATTGTTTTCTAGGCTTCCTTTAGAGTCCTTCAATGGAGATTATTGTGCCTGAATATGGTATATTTTTTTTCACAAGACAGTGTGATGACAGTTTCCTTCTTTTTGTCATTGTTGTAGGCTAAATGATCGGTGACAGCATATTGATCACAAGTTTTTTCATACAGGAGATATAATACAGCCTTTGATTTTGTTCCCTCCATTGTCATATGCCAAAGAATTTAATTGGCAAATTAATGTTACTTTAGTATATCATTTAGAAGTCTAAAGCATGGCATGCAGGTCTGGAAGCAATAATGGTAACGATTAATTTATCATCACCACATTTCTACTTAAGTGTGATTACGAAAATAATAACATAATTGAAAAATGTTAGCCTTAAAATTAGGTGTCCATAATTGCTATTTAAATAAATGAATTTATTAGCACTTTCCAAAGTTGAGTCAAATACTTACTTTAAGGTACCTATGATTTACCGATAAAAATTAATGCTAATATACTTGTTCTTTTTTTTAAATTTCTTATAGCATAACTGTGTACATTAATGCAATCATGGGGTACAGTCTGCTGTTTTCATGTACATTTTGGAATACTCTCATCAAACTGGTCAAGATAACCTTCATGTCATTTTCTTAGTTATTGAGTTAAAATGTTCATACTCTGCTTTTAAAAAGATTCACTTGTACCCTTGTAAGATAAACCATAGAGGGGACCCCACCAATATCCCTCCCTCCCCCCATCCACCCCCCACAACTCCCCCTTCCACCCCCTTCCCCTTTCTAAGGCTATAATTAGGTTATGACATTCCTATAAAAGCTATGAATTAGTTTCAAAGTAGGGCTGTGTACATTGGATACTTTTTCTTCCATTCTTGAGATACTTTGCTAAGAAGAACATTTTCCAATTCCATCCATATAAACATGAAGGACGTAAAGTCTCCAGGGCTTTAGGGCTGCACAGTATTTCATGGTGTACATATACCACAATTTATTGATCCATTCGTGGGTCGATGGGCATTTGGGTTTCTTCCATGACCTAGCAATTATGAATTGGGCTGCAATAAACATTCTGATACAAATATCTTTGTTGTAATTCAATTTTTGGT